CTGTTCTTGGCATGCTTGGCTGTTCGAAACCACCAGAAGTTTTGTGGGAGAGAGGCTGGGATTGCTACTCCCTGGCACAGGCACACTCTCAGAAACCCACAGCATTGACTCAATGGCAGTGAGTTTGGCTTTGGAAGACAAAGCTGTAATAAACTATATAGGCATTGTGACTGAACCCTGGGACTTGAAGGACCAAAATACAGGACATAAAGATAATGGTTTATTTCCTAGTTTGGTGAGTTGCATCTTGGGTATTCAAAGCTTATAAGCAGCCATTTAAGAACCAATGATTGATCTCTTCCTACCTGGAGATAAGGAGAATAAAAAGGAAGGAGGAGGAGGAGGAGAAGCAAGAGGAGGAGGAGGAGGAGAAGAATAATCAAGAAAGCAATTAATTCAAAGGACTAATGACTTAACTTGAACCACAGCCTTTAATATGAGAGTAGAAGACTAAATGGTACCTGGCTACCACAGCCAACCACTCTCACCAAACTCAAAGTAGAAGGAACCAGTAAGAATGGGTCAAAAAATGTGGCACAAAACTGAACGTTTAAAAAAAGGCCAGATTTATTGATTTGAAAGAGGCAATGCGAAGGCATTCAGTTGTGTGGATCATAACCAACTCTGGAACCTTGAGAAGAAAGGGAGTCTCAGAATCCTACATTGCACTCATGTGGAACCTGTACATGGGTCTAGAGGCAGTTGTGCAAACAAAACAAAGGAATAATGCTTGGCTTAAAATCAGGCAAGATGTACATCAAGGTTGTATCCTCTCATTGTATTTATCCAATCTGGATGCTGAGCAAATAATCAGAGAAGCTGGATTATGGGAATAAGACTGGGGCATCAGAATTGGAGGAAGGTTTAACCATCTGAGAAGATGCAGATGACACAACCTTGCCTTCTGAGAGTGAGGGGGCCCTGCAGCATTTGTTGATGAAGATAAGGATTTCAGCCTTCAGTCTGTATTATCACTCTGTATAGAAGACCGAAATTCTCCCAATTGGATCCACAGATAACATCATGATAAGCTGAGAAAAGACTGAAGTTGGCAGGGTCATCTTGTTGGACCTACAGTCAATGTTTGTCGAAGCAACAATCAAGAGATCAAACGATGTCCTGGATTTGGTAAATCTGCTGCATAAAACCTCTTTAAAGTTTTGAAAAACAAGGATGCTACTTTAAGGACTAAGGTGTGCCTGTCCCAAGCCGATGTGTATTCAATCGCCTCACATGCACGTGAAAGTTGGACATTGAATAGGAAGACTGAAAACCTGACGCATTTGAATTGTGGCGCTGGCAAGGAATATCAAAATTAGCATGGACTGTCAAACGAACAAACTAATCTGTCTTGGAAAACACTATAGCCAGAATTCTCCTTAGAGGCAAGGATGATGAGACTTGTCTCAAACATGTATAAAAATATGATTAAATACTTTGAAACCCACATTATTCAGGAATCATGTGACCTGCACAAATACTTTTTTCCCCCTGAAAAAGGCAAAGAATGAAATACTTTCTCCAGAAATACTAGGTAGAGTCAAGGAAGTTTGAAATAACATATACTTGCAGTTAATTTTTTTTAATCTCTAGAGTTATTTTGTTTTACGCTACAAAAACAATCCGTTGAAGTCTATTGGAATATTCTTTAATGTCTTCAAATAGATAACCCTATACCATTCATTTACTTTCCCCAGTGAATTTTTTTGTATGTTTTTGGACAGATAACCTCTTTTCTTTTAGTGAGTAACCTTGGACAAATCAGTAGTATTTCTGGCATCTCATATGAAAAGATGAATTGTGTAGACCACAGGAGTGCTGACATTCCCCTCAGCTTTACATGAAGCAAAAACAAATATAAAATTACATAGAGTCAAGTTTTAATGTTATTTAAAATAAGTAATTTTAAGTTTCCCACTTGACAAAATGGGTAGAATTTAAGATTAGCGACCTTGGAAATTGGGGGGAGCATGTGTTGCCATTAATTGAAATCAATGAAAAAAATCATTAATTCCTTAGCAGCACTGTCTTCCTCCATTACTCACATAGGAAAACAGATGCAGGCATGTATCATTTCTTCTGTGGAACTCCTGCTAGAGAAACAGATGGAAAGCTGGTGTTTTGTTGGCTCACTGTGGAGACGTTTGTGTACACACCGCCCCCAACCCCACGGCAGTCAAGTCGGTTCCGACTCACAGTGGCCCTCAAGAGGGTTTTCAAGTGCATCTTTCTTCAGAGGAGCAACTGGTGATCTTGAACTACTGACCTTGTGGTTTAGTCACTCACGGTGCCACCAGGGCCATTTTGTGTAGTGAAAAGGCCATTATAAAAATTTTCTTAAAGGAAAAAAAATCATGATAAACGTAGTTGGTCTTCAAGACCAACAAGGTAAATCTAAGACTGGCTACTGGACATTCTCTCTCTCTCAGGTGTATCACCAGCAACAGTGTTCCTAGAGTTTTTATTATATTACTGATTCAGCCAACCACTTGTCTCATCATTTTAGACATGTGATTATTTCTGTCTTCGTGATGATCTTCATTGTCCACAACCTATTATGTAGCTTAATAGTCTTTGTATATGAACAGTTATTCAGCTTAGGAATAGAATGTTCTTTGTAAATAGCCAACTAAAATTTGACCCCTGCCTCCCTGATTTTTAGGAGACAATAGATAATTGTTCAGCATCCTCCTAAAACGTCATTTGTATTGTCTTAGCTACTGACACATTCCCTGAACACGAATGACACCCTAACGACCGAGGAAAGGCAGATACATTTGGTCCTTTTCATCCTCTGCCATATCCAGTTCCTTGCTGTCATGTACTAACCCGAACAGCACGCAGCATTCCATCACTGAACTCGTGTATTCCTGCAGTCTGTGCATTTATGTTGCCTGTCCACTGAAATCTAGGCATTCACTGTTAAACAGAACATTCCTTGGATGACGAGAATGTCCTATATCTGTTCTGTCAAACCTGGTGGCCACTAGCCACATTTGACTATCAAAAAGTCAAACAAGAAATAGATGGTGCCAAGTCGATCCAAAGTCCTGGTGACCCTACCTTTTTGCAGAGTGAGTTTTCACTCTACAGGGATTTCAAGACGTGGCTTCTTGGAGGCAGATTGTCAGGCCTCTCTTCTGAGGTGCCTCGGGGCGGATCTCTACTTACACTCATTTGATTAGTAGTGGAGCCTAGAAATGTGGCTAGGGGGTCTAAGAAGCTAAAATTGGATTACACTTTAATTTAAATAAATGTGTTGTTCACAGCTATTGTATTGAATAGCACAGGAATGGTTTTAGTCTAAGTGCTTTTGTATTATAATAATAATGAGAAACAAATAATAAAGATATACTTTTAAAATAAGAAAAGTCATTACATGTCGTGTTGCATGGTATGAGGGAGCTCAATAGGCGTATGTCCCCATTAGGACTTCTTCAGAAGATTGTTGTCAAGAATCCTCTGATGAGTGGCACGATGCCCGAGGTGACGGATTCGTTGCTGGTGGCTGTTGAGCTCATTCAGACTCATGAACATAAGGAACCCTATGAAGAGTATTGCCAGAAGTATCAGCAAATAGGAATACCTTAAGGAAGGGATAAGCGTATGTACTCAAAACTGGAAGAAGGCTGGCCAGTCTGCTGTCATCAGGGGAAAATAAGGCTGAAGAGGGCTAGATCGCAAAGGCCATAAATGACCATAGTTAAGGGCAGTGGGAAACCATTGTGGTCTAATAAGCAAGCGAGTGACATGCTGGAATAAGATATTAAAAACAAATCTCTCTGAAAGCCTTCTGGAGAATGGGTGGTAGAAAAAAGTGGAGGCAGGCTAGCCAAGTGAGAAATGCTTCCATTTGACCAGTTTTGTCTAGGATGGTAGCGGTGGTGATGGTGAAAAGCCAATGAATTCAGGGTCTATCTTAAGAGTAGAACTGACAAAGCTTGATGGTAGATCTAGTATAACACACTGACCACTTGTCAAGTGTCACATGATAAGCTCGATACATTTTAATATAAAGTTGAATTTTTATTTCACAACCCAACATAGATGACACTTTCACTTCTAATAACCATGCTACCTGTTGTTATTGCTCTAAGCATGGCTTCATAGCATCAAAGTATAACATTTGTTGAAGTTATAATTCAGAAAATGGCACCAATAAAAGTCTGCACATGCTTCCCCCCCATATTTTCTTTTAAGACTCATTTTGCCATATTCTGAGAATAAGATTTATCATGCTTGAGTTATGAGCTGATTATGCAATGGCAGTGTCTCGACAAATTATTCCTGGCTTTCTCCTTATGCACAGTACGTGTGGTTTATTGCAGCGTAAAGCTGAGCACAATTCCAGTACACATGTTCCTGCAGGGGCCATACACATGGCTTGTCAGTGTATATAAGGGTTTTTTTGTACCCAGTCCCTTGTGTCTTGGCATTACTTTTATTATGTCTGCAGAGCTTGGGGAGATGAAATGCCACAACACATTCTTTTACTATTGTAGTCTCAACCAGTCTTTTCTTTTCTTTCTTTCTTTTTTCTTTTTTTTTTAAGAAAAAGCAATTACCATCATAAAAATTCCTTACTGGGGAACTTTCCATATTGCGTTATCATTCCATGAGTCTAATAATAGTGGAACATAAAGAAAAAGAAAGTGAACTGCTTAAATATCTAAAAAAGACTTTTGAGGTCTTAGTTACCTTCATAATGAGAAACACTAAAACCCTGGAGGAGGAGAACCAAAGAAAAAGAAGCAACGCTGGGTCTTTGAAAACTCTTGGTCCGTGTTAGAGATTTATAACTCGTGGTCTGGCTAAAGATAACTTGCAAATCACATGCACCTTTACCAATGTCTAAACACAGCTAAAGAAGGATCTGTCTGTTATCTATTGGGAGGATGCTAATGCCTATAATTGGTCATTGCCTGACCTTTATGTATTTCTATCCTGATAGCTCTCTCTGCCTAAAAGCTAACTCTTGTGTTTTCTGTGAAATCTTGCAGTGGTGCTATCAGGGCGATTGTGTTCCTTTTGGCACTTGGCCCCAGAACATAGATGGGGGCTGGGGTCCGTGGTCACTATGGGGAGAGTGCAGCAGGACCTGCGGGGGAGGCGTCTCCTCATCCCTAAGACACTGTGACAGTCCAGCGTAAGTAGCTAAAGTAAGCCGGAGCCAACAAAAAGACACAGTTGGAAATGATTCAAAACTGTGGTTTCACATGTTATCTGTAAAAACGTTTCACTCATGAGCCAAGCGCTTGTCTTCAGAACAAGCAATAGGCACAGGCGAGTGGAGGAGCCTTGTTAGCCTTTCTTTTCCGCCCTCTCCCTTTACCATGTAACTAAACAGAGACCAGGCAAAGAAAAAAAAAAAAAGAAGAAGAAAGAAAAGAAAAGCATTGTGGATCTATCCCAGGTAGAGCCAGACTTTTAATCTAGGAATAATCAGATAGATTTCCTTCTCCAAAATCTATTGAATTATGGATGAATCAAGTCTGGTCTTAGCTACATTACCATTATTCCCAGGAAAGCTAAAGTCTTTTCACATGTCACATAAAATTATTACTGCTACATTAGGATTAAAGGACCAATGAGAGCACTTCAAGGGTTGAAATGCCTTGATTCGCATCACAAATCACAATGAAAAGAATACTGCCCATGTGTTAAAATAGTTTCCATTCACATGCCCCCATTAATCATCTTCTGAGCTGCCTCCACTTTTCTCCCTGTGACTGTTTTATGCAGGTGAGACTGCGCCTCTCCCACCACCCTCCTCCGCCAGAGTCCCCCTGGCCCAAGGCCCAGCTCCATCAGTATTCTTTAGTAGGGGCGTTGAATCTTCCTCCCATCATTGCCCATTACAGGGGGACAGGTCCTCGAGTTAAACACTCCAGTCCTCCCCAAGACTAAAGTTCCTGAGTTGCTGCATATCAAGTACTTCCATTTTTGACTAAAGTGTAGGTTGAGGGCCCTTTTTTCTAGGTTGGTTTTGGATGCTGAAGTATATTATAATATTGCTTTGGTTCTCCCCACCTGTCCCCGCACCCCCCATCCCCGGTTGTGCGTTTCTCTCAGGACCCCTTTCCTTAGCTCTTCCCTACAAGAATAGATAATCTGGCCTTCTTTTCGACTTTTTTTAAAGCTCAAAAAGCTTTCCCTTCATATTTGTTCAGGATTCCCATCCTCCCATTTCGTACTGGTCACTACTTTCTTGCTCTCGGAGCTCACTGCTACCCAACTCACGTGACATGGGGCCAGCAGCCCAATCTTGCTGCAGCCAGCCCCACCTCCCTGGTTTTGTCTGATCAGCCCACTTCTATCAAGCTGGTTCACGATAGGCCACTTACTCTCCTGGGCTACAGTCAGTTTTCCCTGGGCACTTAAAATATATACTTTAATGGAACTTTAATTATCCCACTGATACGATTGGACCAAAGTGATAATCTAGGTTTGCGCTTTAAAAACCAAATACAGAAGAAATAGCCTGAGTTCACCTGTGAGCTATTGTAAGTTACTCATCAAACATAATACAGTGTAATAATACTAATCCCATAGATGAGGGAATGATCTGGATCTTTTAAAAAGATGAGATCAGTTGCATTGTCAGTGTTTTCATTCAAAAGTACTGTGCCCAGATAAAGCATCAAGCCTTCTCTAATGTTACGTACTTTAAAGATTAATTTGTGAAAATCACATATTTGACATTTTGCTTACTTTCTCATAAATGCATGTTTTCCAAAATGCTTACATAATGCAAAGCCATCTGATTTTTAGATGTAGATTGTAAAAAAGCTAACAATATCTGAAATGAGATATAAATTCATTTCTGCAGTATTTACTCTGAATTCAAGAGAGTTTAGTGTTTTCTTCTTGCTACCAGTCGGAGGAAAAGACAATTTCTCATTTCCTACTTGGTGAACACATAACACCAGATTAGGATTCTGTGGAATAGAATTCAGATGGCTTTTCATTATAAAGAAGTGTTGTTTGTGTTTTTGTTCTGTGGGAGAAAGATGGGGCAGTCTGCGCCCATAAACTGTAGCCTTAGGAATCCTATGGGGCAGTTCTACTCTGTCCTATGAGTCAGACTTGCCTCAATGGTAGTAAATGGGCATTCAACTGAGCAGCTGGTTATTAAAATAATTAGAAAAAGACATTAATTTAATTGCGTTTTCTTAAGTAAGTCAATCATAACAATGAAGTGATCTCTAAAGTTCTTAATGAATTACCTTAATTTTTATTATCAACAACTATAATTATTAATGCTAACAATCCCCAGTCTGATTATTTTAATAGTTAATAAACATGTCAGAGCTTATGTTTTCTAAAATTAAACTTTAGTCATTTTTTGGTAAAGGAAAATATATACTATTTCTGTGCATAGATAGAGTCACATGTTAAATGAAATGTTTTTTTCAGACCTTCAGGAGGTGGAAAATATTGCCTTGGGGAAAGGAAGCGGTATCGCTCCTGTAACACAGATGTAAGTAAAACCAAAATTTGCTATGAAAAATCAACTTACTTTCCCCCTAGAGCAGGGAAATGTCTAAAATTGCAAGCTATTTGATCAGAAATCCATGTGTGTGAGGAGTCACATGCATTTTTAAAATACGACATATTTGGGCTTCATCAATTCCCTGAGCAAAGGTCAAGGGGAACTGCAGGACTAGGTGTAAGTACACTCTCCTCCAAGAGGTACAAAGAGAGAGCCCACGCAGTCGGGCTGTGTCTGTATAGCACTCAAAAACTCACCATTGCTATCTTTCCTGGATGTCCCAATATGAATCTTGTGGCCTTATCCCATTTTAGTTCAGCACTCTAAGAAGTCTTAGACGCCCAAATCACCCCTTATCTTTTCTCATCCTATCCAACATCTTCTCTGCATACCTCTTGTTCTATTTCCCATCCCTCCCTGGCTACTAGAACTCTTCCTCTGTGCCCTGTGGGATTCATGATCTCCAAAAAACAAAAGCCAGTGCCCATAAGTCAATTCCAACTCAAGTGACCGAGAGTCGAACTGCCCCATAGGGTTTCCCAGGTTTTACTTTGTTTGAGAAGGAGTGCTGTTCGTGCAGTCATGAAAGTGCTTGCTACGAACCAAAAGGTTGTTGGTTTAAATCCACTACCAGCTCAGTAGGAGAAAAATGTGGCAGTCTGCTTGGAAATCCTTGGGACAGTTCTACTCTGCATTATAGAATCATTATGGACTTAATGGCCATGAATCATCTTTATTTCTAAATAGTTTTATTGGCATATGCTTCACATATCATCCAATTTGATCATTCAATCACACTAAGAAGATTTTGTACAACTCATCACCACAATCAACTTCAGAACATCTTCTCAGACTCAATGTTTTTAGCTCCTTCTTTCCCCCCATCTTTCCTGCCATGCCTCTTGGCAATCCAGTCACATCTCTGTAGATCCAGCTACCCTGGGTTTCACATACAGAAATCATACACAAACCAACAACAATGATTAGACAAAACAGAAAAATATCAATCAAAAAGAAAGCAGAAAATGTTAAAAACGGAAACAACTTTAGAATGTGTCAAAAGAGAGATCTAATGACAAAGTCTGACATTTTAACCAATGGCTTAGCCCAGGTGTGTAGAGAAACAAACCCAGTGACTCTCATATATACATAAGAAAGAGTTCTATATCAAGAAGGCATCCCAGCCGGTCCAACCCAAATCCATAAGTCTTGTGTGAGTCCATAAGTCCCTCTTCAGACTCCTGCAGCCACATGCTGGTGATGCCAAAGTGTGAACTGAGAAGCAGGATGCTCACAGGCTCATGGGTGCAGAGTCACGTGGATCCAAAATTTGTGGGAACATGGCAGGCTGCTGACAGCCCCCAGGGTCAACAGCACCGCCCCAGCAAGCAGTAAGGCAAATTGGCAGAGAGGGAGTAGTTCCCAGTGTCTTCCACTCTTATGTCAAAAAGGCTTGTGACATGAAGGAGATGTCATTAGGCTAGGACTTGATTGACAGGTTCAACTCTGTCCCTAGCCAGGAGTGTGTAGTTGACATAAAAAACTTCTAATTACCACAACCGAACTATAGCTGCCATAATGGACTTGACAGTGCTCTCTGGGTGATAGCAAGACTGGTCACATCCCTTGACCAGGGTCAGAGAGGATTCACTGAGGCTTAATTCATGCAGAGAGCCGGAACATGGATGTTGGGCTTCCACTGTCATCCATAGACTCCTGTAAAACTGGTGGTGTGCAATTTAAGCTCTGATACCATTCTCTCCTTTGGATATGGATTTCATTATTTATGATCCTTGAATCACACAGGTAGGTGTGCTTCTCCCATGTGGACTTAGCTGATACCTCATGTAGATAGCTGCTTAGTTTAAGACCAACTTTTAAGACCCCAAATGGTATTCTTCCTGATAGCTGGATACCACACTTTGCTATAGCACCCATATTTTCAATGGTCTCTTCCTGAGGGGGAGTATAGCCATGTCATAAGAACTAATTATTCTTGGATTGGGGCTAGAATTAGGCATGAACCCAAAATCCATTCTTATGCCTATGATGATATATATATATAGATATCTGGTTCATTTTAGAGACATCATTATAATTTAATGATATAGAACATTATAAATCCTCCCTCTGGGACATATAGTAATTCTATTGATATTGTGGTTATTTAGCCAATGGTATAGAATTTTAAATGCTATTGAGAAAAGGAAAGTATACAACTATAGGCCAGTTTTGGACTGCAATACTTGAATTGTTGACTTGTACAGATTAAATATTTTAAGTGGCTTGGCACTAATGAATAATTCTTAGATAGGAGAAGCAGATTGCCACACCTTGCTCCTTCATAGAGAGGTTTGTAGAATTGAATCACCTGCCTTTGAGTTGGCAGTTGAGTGTGACCTCTACTCCACTATCCAAAAACAAAAAACAAACCCATTGCCATTTAGTTGATTCCATCTCGTGGCAGACCTGCAGGGCAGAGAAGAACTGCCACATAGGGACGGCAGGGCTGTGAACCTTTACAAATGGAGACTGCTACATCTTTTTCCCATGGAGCAGTTGGTGAGTTTGAATCACTGAGCTATGGGTTAGCAGTCAAGTGCTTTAACCAGGGTGCCACCAGGGCTCCTTAAGTCCCTATATTTGACTTGGAATATATTTGTTATTTTTTTTGTCACCTTCTTGCTCTGATTAAAACCTGTTCCCTTCTAAAGAGAGTGTTTCTGCACATGCTTTGTCTTCAGCGATCGTGTCGTGATAGGCCGGGTGCATAAGCAAATGTGGTGAAGAAAGCTGATGGTGCTTGGCTATCAAAAGATATAGAGTCTGGGATCTTAAAGGCTGGAAGATAAACAAGGGGCCATCAAACTGAGAAACAACAAAGCCCACATGGATGAAGCACACCAGCCTGTGAGATCATGAGGTGTTGATAGGATCAGGTATCAGGCACCAAAGACCAAAAACAATCATAGCATTGTGAACGAGGGGGAGTGTGGAATGGGGACCCAGGGCACATCTGTGGGAAATTGGACATCCCCTTGCAGAAGGTCTGTGGGGAGGAGACAACCCAGTCAGGGTGCAGTGTCACAATGATGAAAAATACAATTTTCTTCTAGTTTTTGAATGCTTTCTCCCCACCACTATCATGTTCCCAATTCCACCTAACAAATCCGGCTAGACCAGAGGATGTACACTGGTACAGATAGGAACTGGAAACACAGGGAATCCAGGACAGATGAACCCTTCAGGACCAGGGGTGAGAGTAGCGATACTGGGAGGATGGAGGGAAGGTGAGGGAGAAAGAGGGGAACAGATTGCAAGGATCTACATATAACCTCCTCTCTGGGGGATGGACAGCAGAGAAGTGGGTGAAGAGTGCCGTTGGATGGTGTAAGAGATGTCAAAATAATATATGGGGACCATAAAAAACTATGTATAATCTTGAGAAGAATGGGAATTCCAGAACACTTCATTGTGCTCATGAGGAACTTGGACATGAATCAGGAGACAGTTATGTAAACATAACAAGAAAATACTACATGGTTTAAAATCAGGAGAGGTGTGCATCAGGATTGTATTCTGTCACCATACTTGTTCAATGTAGATGCTGAGCAAATCGATAGAGAAGCTGGCTTATATGAAGAAGAACATGACATCAGGATTGGGAGATGGCTTGTGAACAACTTGAGATATAAGGATAACACAACCCAGGTTGCTGAAAGTGAAGGGCACTTGAAACACTTACTGGTGAAGATCAAGGATTGCAGCCTTAAGTATGGATTACAACTGAATGTAGAGAAGGCCCAAATCCTCACAGTTGAACTAATAGGTAACCGCAAGAGCAATGGAGAAAAAGCTGATGCTGTCAAGGATTATGTCTTGCTTGGATCCACAATCAATGTCATGGAAGCACCAGTCAAGATGTCAAAAGACATGTTCCATTTGGTAAATGTGATGCACAAGACCTTTAAAAAGTATTGAAAAGTAAGGATGTTCCTTTGAGGACTAAGATGGACCTGACCCAAGCCATGGTACTTTCCATCGCCTCAGCTGCCTGTGAAAGTCAGACACTGACTAAAGAAGACTGAAGAAGAATAGATGCGTTCTCATTGTGGTGCTGGAGAAGAACGCTGCGAGTGCCATGGACCGCTAAAGCACAAATTGACTCTTCCTGGAAGAAGTGAGGGTGGCAGACAACCTCATCGTTCTGTCAGGAAGTGGCTGACAGGTGGGGTGAATAGCCCAATATATTTACCCCACTGCACCACCAGGCCTCCTTTTGTGTTCAAATAGCTAACTAGAAATATAATGGTTCACCCAGTTTGGGTTCTTTGGCTTACATTGTCTGTTCTGAGTCTGGAAGCTCTGCTGAAACCGGTCACTCTGGGCGACCCTGCTGGTGTTTGAAATATCAGTGACATAGCTTCCAGCATCACAGCCACACACAAGCCACCACAGTGTGGTAAACTGACACACAAATGGAGGATTAGAAGCAAGTGGTGGACTAAGGACAGATAAGGAAGAAGGAGGTGGCTCCCCCCTTTGGAGGGAGAAGCAACTGAAAACGTTTTGCGGAGTTTGGAAGTACTGTCTAATACTGAAAGCCTAAACAAATGAAGCAGAGCATTGTCGGAGACACTGCTGAATGGGCCCCTCAGGTCTGAGGACACTTGGCATGTGACTGAAGAGGAGATGAGTCCTTGGAGGGGAGGGGCCCATGGTGACGTGAGTCCAGGAAAGCCTTTGGGATGGAGACTTCAGGACCTTCCTTTGCTGATGGGGCATGACTCTAGGTAAAGGAAAACAGTTGCAAAAATCTTCTAGTGATTGTAACTTGGAATGTGTGGTGTGAATTTTGGAAAACTGGAAGAGGTAAAAAATGAGGTGGCGTGCACGAAGATCAATATTCTTGGTATTATGAGCTGAAATGGACTGTTATTGACCATTTTGAATCAGAAAATAATATGATTTACTATGTTGGGAATAGC